ACTAAGGAAATCTGAATGAATCATGAACTTGTTAACAACTTATCAATATTGGCTGTTAAAAAACAAAAGTACCATATTAATGGAACATGTTAAGAATAGGGAAAATTGGGCTGGGGATGTGGCTCAAGCGGTAGCGCGCTTGCCTGGCATGCATGCGGCTTGGGTTCGATCCTCAGCACTACATACAGACAAAGATGCTGTGTCTGTCGAAAACTAAAAAATAAATATTAAAAAAGTTCTCTCTCTCTAAAAAAAAAAAAAAAAAGAATAGGGAAAATTGGGTGTAAGGTATATGGGAACTTCCCATACTATCTTCTCAATTTTTCTGTAGATTTAAAACTGTTCTTAAAAAAGTCTGATTTTTAAAATTCAAGGTTCATAAAGACTGATATCCCTAACCCACCAAGAGAAGAAAAAAAATACTTTTCAAATCAACTAAAAATATGAGCAAACAATTAGAAAAATTAATGCTAAGGACATGAACAAGCAATTCAAAATACATTAAAATGCTAAATGGAAAGACATTCAGATTCACAGGGATGGACAGAATAAATGAGATCATATATTTACTATGCTATCTGTTATATAATGAATGGAGCTGTTAAAATATAACAAGTAACTAAAGAACTGAATTTTTTTTTCTTTTATTTTTTTTAGTTTTTGGCGGACACAACATCTTTGTATGTGGTGCTAAGGATCGAACCCAGGCCGCACGCATGCCAGGCGAGCACACTACGGCTTGAGCCACATCCCCAGCCCAAGAACTGAAAATTTAAATAACAAAAATACATAGAGATGTGTATGAACTATGTATATGTGTATATTATGTAATCTGTATATAATTAATCAGGTTTGGAAAAGGATGAGAAAACTTATGATGCTCAAAGTTGGCCAAAATGTGGGCCCTTGAATAGGGAATAACTGCTAATTAATCTGAGTTTCTTTGGGGGATGATGAAAATGTCCTAAAATGCATTGTGATGATGATTGAATACCTCCATGAATATACTAAAAAGTGTTCAATTTTATACTTAAATGGGTGAACTTTGTGATTAGCAAATTGGATCTCAATAAAACTAATAAAAAAAAAATGTGGTCCTTTAATTAGTTTAAAGGTAGAAGTGTAAATAGGCACATTCTTTTCCAGAAACATTTAGCCAGTATCTTCTCAAGTATAAAATAACAACATGTGTACATATACCCATATTTCATTACACACACGCACACACACACACACTCACACACACCCATTCTTTTGACTACAAAGATTTCTGTATATGGATATTCACTGTGACGATGTAATAGAGAAAAGCTGGAAATAGTCCAAAAGTCTATCAATACGGCGTTAGTTTAAAAAAATCATGGAAAATGTGACATGTATGTATGCTGATATAGAAAACTGTCCAAAAAATAATATTTGAATTTTAAAACTTGTTAAAAGGAAGGAATTAAACCAAGTTAGAAATACTTAATTCTGAGGTCTTCCATTTATACTTCAAGGGGATTAAAACTGCATGCAAAATTGTGTGTGCATGTATATATGTAAGCATATTTTCTAAGAAAAGCGTCCACAGCTTTTACTGAATCTTAAAGAAACATGTGATCTTCGAAAAGGGTTACTAAATAATCACTAAAAAACCTCCTAAGATACTGAATATCTGAGGAATGTAGTTAAGTTATACCCAAGAGAGGAAGCCTTTGGGGAGGAAAGAAATTCTCCCAATTAAGCTTTTAAGAACATACTAAATGCTTCTACCACAAAATTTTTATCCCAAGACTCCTACATCTAAGGGTGTAAAGGGAGTTATTCTTCAGTTGAGCCTATGTTCATTCACCTGTTAATTACAAACCTCAACCAAAAACTAAAGAGCAAAAATAGTCTTCAAATTGTATGACTATTTCATGCTTAAATTACAATTAAAAGTAAGAACATACCAAAGCAAAGGGAAACAAAGTAGTAGTGCCGCTTGACCTAGTAGAGGAGCTGATCTGCATGATAGCTAGTACTCACACGTTAAGACAAAGGTCCAGGAGTTAGTGGTGACTTTTTTAAGATAAGCAAATTAAAATAAGACAAATAAATCAGGTCTTATATATAGTTTTGTGAGCAAAAACAAATCTCTTTAGGCAGATGAGGCAAGAGAAGTCTAATATTTTTGGAATTCATGTTATATAGTAAATTAATATTTTCAATATTACAATCACTTTTAGAATCAATGGGACTTAATAAAGTTGGAATAAATAAGTATAAAATAGCAGGGATACTCTATCCTAAAATTAAAAATATGCCTTAGAACAGTATTTCTTAATCAGAGGTAGTTTTGTCTCCCTGTAGGACATGTGGCCACATGTGAACACATTTTTTTATCATCGGGATTGGGGAGGTGCTGCTGGAATCTTATGGACAGAGTCCAGGGATGTGGTTAAACATCTCATATCCTCTGCTCTGTTCCAAAACATTGATGGTGCCATGTCTTAGAAACTCAACCTTCAAGTAGGCTAGGGGACCACTGAAATCTACTTTGAGATTATCACAGAAGTCCTAAATCAACAAGCTTTGTTTATTTGTTTAGAAATACTGACACCCTGTCAGCAAGTATGGGAAGTATTGACATGGACAATTTTCAAAGTGTTGTTCTACAGACAATAATTGACTCTTCAATTTGTCTACATTTTTGAAATAATACATAAAGTTCTGAGACAGGCAAAAAATGATTTCTGAAATCAAAGTGGTTCCTTTGGAGAGAAAGGAAAGGGAGAGAACACAAGAACGACTTCTGGAATGTTCATAATTCTGCATTTCTTAATCTGGGTAATAGTTATATAACTGTGCTCACTTTGTGACAATTCAGCAAGGAGTATACTAATAATCTGTGTACTTAACTCTATACAGATAACACATCAACAAAAAATGTTTATTTTTAATGGTATATATTCATACCCTAAAAAGATGAACATTTTGATCCAGAAAGCTAAATTAATATCAACTACAAAAGTAAAAGTATTTTGTTATATAGGCTGCCTTCCAAGAATTCAAGGAGGATGACACCCCCAGAAAGCTGTAAATAGCATACTCAGCACTCCTGCAGCATTCAGCTGCACACTCAAGCCACTATATATCCCTTGGCATCAATCCAAAACTGTGATAAACACTAACAAATGCGGTCCAATTTATTCCATGAACAGTTTGTTCAGATTATTCTCCTAGTGTTAAACTGTGAACTGTTATCAGAAAACAGACTTTATCAAGTAAATGATGGTTTCTCTTTTCTAATCCCACAAATTCTCAAATCTCCCCCAAATTAAACCCTTCTTGATCCCAACTCCTCAGGATTTCTCCATGCTTTTTCTAAAAGTACCCAACATTGCCTCTCCCAATATCCACCTTTACAGTCCACCTTCACTCTCACACACACAAAAAAATTCATATTCAAGCTCAATTCAGAGACCTATCTTCCCAGCCACATTTGTACCCTCTCCCAAGACTTCATAATACAATCCAAACCTCACTACCCTCAAACTCCTAAGATCCTCCACAAACTCCCTGCCCAACACCACCACAAAACCAGGCACATGCTACCCTGTTCTTTTAAATCCTCTCCTACCACAGCTTTGCCTCTGCAAACATTTCTACCTCCCTACTCAATGGCCACCACTGTGACTATTATCTCAACTTTTCTCTTCCCTTTAGTCCTCTGCTTTCCTATAAGATTCATTCCAATCTCACCCTCTCCCCACAACTGCTGCTTTCTTCTTTACGAACCCTTCCTAAGGCCCCAGAGCCGGGATGGAAAGTTACAGAAAGAGTATGAAGGAACTTGCTCTGTCCTATGTGAAGGTATGAGTGAAGGTGGCTCAAGCCTCAAGCAAACAATGCTGTGCAGGGACTACAGAGTCAGACACTGGATTCTGAAAGCCAGTCCCACCACTCACTAACAGCAAGGCTTATACTCTGGTTTCTCTCAGATGGTGTAAACCTTTTGCCTTTACTAACAGGAAGGCTTTGGAAAAAGCCTCCATTTCTCTTAACTGCAAGATGGGAATAACAGAAACAGCTATCTCACAGTGTTATGAGGATTCAATGGCTAATGACCACTGAGCACTCTGCTCAAACCCAGCATGGTAAACTCTCAATGACTGACAGTTTGTTTTGGTCCGTTTCTGGGAAGGAGGAATAAAGGGAAGGTGAAAGACACTCTAACTCTCATTAATGCTAAGATTTCTGTAAAAACTCCCTTTGGGGAACAGAAGAAGGGCAATAGGAGGGAAAAAAAAACTCTACAGATTTGTGGATGTCACAAGATTTTTATCAGATCCCCAAATTTTTTGTTCCCTCTTTCTTATCCTTCAACAACGTGGATGAGAAGCCTTCAAAGAGAAGTCCCTCCATCCAGAGAGTCACTGGAGGGAATGAAGTAGCAAAGAGTACTCTTTATTACTAAGTCGCATTCCTTGGGGGTCTGAGAATTAGAAAGGAAACCTCCAAGGTCCAATCACTTTTCTCTAGAGAAACGGAGGAGAGCACTTCGTAGTAAAGGGAGATGAGAGTAAGTGCGAGAAACCCTAACTCCTCGCTGTTCCAGCAGCAGAACACCAACTGGTTTCTCCGGGTGGGGACGGAAAGGGAAAGCGCTTCGCCGCATCTCCTGGGGCACAGGGCTTCTCTGGTGCGTTCCCAGGAGGGATGAGGGGAGGGTCTGTGCAAGGGAATCCCCCATCCCTACAAAGCGAGAGGGGCCCGGCAGCCCTAGGGGAGTTTGGCTGGCTCTCTGCGGTCTCCTCACAAGCTCATCTGCGGTGCTGGGATTCTCCAGGGGCACAGGGATCTCCCAGAGGTTCGGCCATCGCTGGACCCCTCCCCTCAAGACCTCCTGACAGCCCACCTCAGCTCCCCGGCCCCTTCCCAGAGTCTCCCGGCAAACGCAGAGTCAGCCGGAGCCACCGAGACTCCACGCGGGCCTTCCCCCGTCCCTACTGAGCACCGCGAGCCGACGCGCTTACCTGCTGAGACGGCAGCTCCACATGCAGGGCCCGCGCGGCAGAACCTGGCGGCAGCGCGGCGGCCGGGCCCGGGGGCGGCGGCGGGACCGGGCCCCCGACCGACGCTGAGGAGCTCATTTTGACCCAGCGGCCGCCAGGCGGCGGGACTGGCGCTCCTCCCGCATCCGCCGCTGCCTCGTACCCACGACCCTCCGAGCCCCTGCTGCCTACAACCCTCCACCCGAGAGGCAGGACTGCTCTGTCCCCGCGCTGGCCGCTGCCGCTGGCTAAGGAAGAGCCATATTACCGCAGTGCAACCCCCTCTGCCGGGCTGAGACCTGGCCCACTCATTGGTTCCGTTCTTACAGGGGCGGGAACCAACGGCAGCGAAGGGACTTGCTATTGGGTAACAGGTCAGTCCGTCGCCGGCCGGAATGGGCTGGGGGCGGAGGCGCTCCAGGATGGCCTCAATTGCGTCTGTCAAGCCGGGATGAAATTTGGGGCGTTGCTTCATTTTGTCCTATTTTTATTGGTTCTTTCACTAGTAAGGGGCGGAGCCTCCTGGGGTGCTGCAAAGGCCATTGCTCAAGATTTCTGCCAATTGTCAGTAAAGGAAGAGGGGCGGAGTCTTAATTAGGTAGAGCGCGCGCCTCAGCTCCGGAGTCACGTGCAGAAGGCTGGAGCGTCACCTGATTAGTGAGAATCAGTCTTCTGAGCCACTTCCGCCCTGACCTAGTTGTCATGGTAACAGGCCTCCGGTCGAGGGCGGGGACCCTCTAGGCTGGAGCAGTCATTGCAGGCTCCTTAAGCCATCTTTTGCCGAGGTGTTATAATCAACGTGCGAAGACGAAAAAGGAATGCTTTATAGTTTAGCAGAGAACTACCACGCAGGATGAATGAAACCAGAGTCCTGTCCGGCAGTCTCACCAGTTTTTCACGACCAACTCTACCCTCGAGTCCACGCCCCTCCTCGCACTCCACTAACTAGTGCTCTGGAGCCAAAAGGTGTGCCAACTGCCCTGAACGCAACGCTGTTTCATCTATACCGATGGGTTGCTTCTGCTGTCCCTGGAAACCCTTTGCTACTTTTCTTTCCCTAAAACTTGTTTACCCACCTTGAGTTAGAAACCTTTCCTATACCATAGTCCTGATTATTCTATTGCATTGATTGGGGGTTTGGGTTTTTTGTGGGATTTTGTTGTTGTTGTTGTTTCTTGGCGGGAGGGGGTGGGGGGAGTGTCAGGGATTAAATCCAGGGGCGCTTAACCACTGAGTCGTACCCCCAGGCCTTTTTTTTTATTTTAAGACAGGGTCTTGCCAAGTTGCTGGGGGCAGTTGAACGTGTGATCTTCCAGCCTCATCCTACCTGCCCGCTGAGATTACAAGCTTGGGCCACCTCGCCCAGCTGCCTTGTCCTTTAATAGGCATGTTTAACACATACTACCAATCGCTACTCTCAATCCCGAGCGCCCCCCCCAACACACACACACACACACACACACACACACAC